AGAACAGCTCAAAGGAACAACATGGTTGCCATTTATGCACCAAAAATAAAGCAAAATCTAGCTCACACCCTAAAGATACTACAGCTCCATATTAGGGCAAGTCTCCCTTTTGGAGACTGGCAGTGTCTTTTACTCAAGTGCTCAAAACCACTAGTAATTATAAATCTCTTTTGTTTTTTGTGGATACCTTCTCAGGATAGGTGGAAGTATTTCCCACTAGGAGGGGAAAAGCTGCAGAGACTGCCAAACAATTGCTTAAAGAAATAATTCCTTGCTTTGGATTACCCAACGCCGTTCAGAATAACAACAGACCTGCATTTGTTTCAGAAGTCACTCAGAAAATATTGCCTTGTAGATTAATTCAAAGCTTCATGCTGCCTGGAGACCACAATCAATAGGACAAACTCAAAAAGGAATGAACCATGCTTTAAGGAAGACCTTGGCAAAACTATGCCCATCTGTGTTAAGATTAGGCATTGTCCATCATCCTACTTTGGATAAGAGTAGCTCTAAGACTGGGCCTCCCTTGTGGCACAAGAGGTTAAGTCTCATGCTATCAAGCTACTATGGGCAGCCACTGGGGCATGAGTTCGATTCCCTGGCCAGGGAGGTAACACACATGGCCCGGCAGAACTCTCCTGTCTTGCCCGCTGCTCCCCTTAGCAGTGTATTTCAGTAGATTGGCCTGTTCTGCTCCCCGACTCTGTCTCTGGTGAATCCTTTCACCTCCCTGTACCTCTGGCCTGTACCCCACTTCTTTTATGTATAAATAAATAAATCCTTTTTAAAAAAAAACTTGTATACATATGAGTAAATTTACAGTTGCATAAGTCATTCTACATGAATGACTTTGTTTGGATTAAACAAAACCTAAGGGATTTTCTCTATCTATATGTTAGTATATTTCCCTTTGTGTCCAAGTATTCTAGCCACTGGGGAGCATAAAACTGATAAAGATGTCACCTATTGAAATTTTGAGCTCAGAAATAAGATGGAAATTTGCACACATGTTTCTAAGAAGTGTGCATGAAGAAGTATGCTTCTAAGAAGTGGGATAATTTTTGATTAATGAGAACTAATTTTAAATTAAATGGGTTGTTTTGAAACATGCATATCTATAAAATCATGGTATTGCTTTATTTGTTGGGTAAAATGTGAATTAGGAAATTTTTTTTAAGAAGATTGAGAATTCCAGTTATGGGATCAAAATATGCTGAGTAACCAGAGCTTTGATTGTAATTAAATGGTTCTGTTATTCCCTAATACTTATGACAAAACTTCCCAGAAATCTAAATTAGGAAACATTGGTAGTGTTTTATTTGATTGATCAGATCTCCTGGGACACTCCATGAAATTTCTCCTTTGCTTTTGGGAAAGGCATTCATACTATTTGGTACTTACTGGTAAATTTAGGAAACATAATGGCAAATATTGTCACTGGGGAAAACATGAACATTATCACATGGCATAAACATGAATATTAATGTTAGTGTTCTAAAATTAAGTTGGTTAAACTTGTTAAATATATTCTGACATAATATTACTTATTGATTTTGATTGTTGTTCTGCAACATTGTAAACTGTAATGTTGAATTAATTTCTTTGGCAATTATGTCACTATCAGATTTTAAGTTTGGTTATTGCAAAGTTTTTACATTTACATAAATTATTTCTCAAGAAATTAATAAGATTATAAACTTCAACACTATCTTAAGACCCATGCTAATTGATGCAATTGAAGAGTGCAAATTTTTGGATGACTAGAATTGAACATAATTTTAATAAGTGTGTGTTTAAAATGCTTTTCATTTTGTTTTGTTTTTTACTCAAGAACATTACTTTTTTCAGCTGACCAGGATCTGCAGCAATGTGAAATTGCAATTTTACAAGCAGAACTAATCTTTGCTTGCATTTTCTCTCTCCATTATGCCATCATATTATGGCAAAATTGTCAGAAGTACTCTTATTTTACTCATGGTAATGTGTATCTTTCATAATTTTGATAGGGATTTTTATTTGTCTCTCCTAAAAACAGATAATTGGAAACTTAGCTGATTACCAAAGTTTTGATTGGGATATCTTTTGAAAGCTGAAATTGAGTAAAGTCTAGAAGAAAATAGTTTGCCACATTTAGTACAGGATTCGAAAGCCCTTTGAGGGAAGCAGGGAAATTGACCTCCATCCGCAGCGTTGGAGACCTCAGAGAAAAGCCTTGGAAACCTCCAGAATAGGAAATCTACCAAAGGTACAGATGTTGCTGGTGCAGTCTGTTGGACCTGAACTATGACCTGGTTCCCAAGGAATGTGCAGGCCAAATGTTGAGAGTTCAGTCTAAGATCTTTTATAGAATGTTCCAGCAAAGTCAACAAAAATTCTATTTGGTTTTTCTGCCCTGTGAGTTTATGCAAAAATAGATTTAAACTAGATTTAGTTTACAAAAGTATTTTGCTCCACTATTTAAGAAAATTGAGATGAAGGTGGAAAGAAAATGTTTTTAAATAGTACCATTTTTAAGAATTTTCTCATTTTTCTCTTGATTTTTTCTGATATTCTGTTTGACTAATGTCTCTAGCTTTTTACTTAAACTGATTTTTTTCTAAAAATGGAAGACTTTGCTATACTGGCTACCCTTGGACAATGCCTCATGACTATTAGCTATTTCCTTTGAACACACTGGAAGGCTGGCAATGATGTTCTTCTGAGAACACACTCCGAAACGCACAGATTTGACTTTCATCCCCATAGAAATGGTGGCAAAAATTAAAAGGAGAGAAATTGTTAGAGGAACCATAGGGAGCAAACTCTAAACCAATGAATGGCATCCCCTGGTGTCTTTACAGACTCCATCCCCACATTCATTCTGGTGAGATTTCAGGCACCTGGGATTACAACTCCCAGCATTCCATGAACCTGATTTCCTGAACAGGAGGCCACTGGGAATTAAGAGCAGGATTAAGCAGATATGCTTGGCTTAAAATCTTGATACTCATGTTCTTCTTGCTTTTGTGGCTTTGACTTGCACTCTGGTTTCTAAGCTAAGTTGGCATTGCTGATAGGAAGTGTTGATACATTTCTTCTTTCTCTTTCTCTCTCTTCCCTGTTTCTAAATGCCCTTGTAAATAAGACTTTAAAAAAAAAAATTTCTCTTTCTGTCTTATTTTGGGCCTTGTCCCAATTTCTTAAGCTTGTGGGTGAGGAACACCAAAACTAGGTCACCCCCATTCCCTCTGGGTGTTTCCCAGTTTCAGGTTTTTCTTAAAACCTGTTTTAAGAAATGTTTTCTTACATTCTTAAAAAGTCCTGTTGTCCAGAGCATTGTCTATGTAAATGAATTACCAAGTTGTGTTCATTCCTCTTCTGAATAAAGGGCTTAGCTGATGGAACAAGTGTCCTTAGGAAGAACTATTTTCAGGAAGCCATTAAGTTGCCATACAAATATATTTTCAGCACCCCCACCTTGTAAGTGTCATGTGCATACCAGGCTTTTTAAACTCTTAAAACAAACAAAGCTTTACCATATATTCATATCTCCCCTTCTCCTAATGCTGCCTTTACAGTTTCCATGAAGTACCTAAAATCCAGCACTTAATTGAGAGTACAACCTTGAATTGTTTACAGGCTGTAAGTATAAGATGCTCAAGGCTGATAAATTAGTTATCTATTGCTGCAAAACAAATTACAACAAAACAATAAATATTTATTATCTCAGTTTCTGGGAGGATGGAATCTGGGAGTAGATTAGCTGGGTGGGTCTGTCTCAAATCTTCTCAGAGGCTATAGTCAAGGTGTTGCCAGGGTTGCAATTATCTCAAAGGTCACCAGGGGAAGATCACTTCCAAATCCATTCACAGGGCTGTTGGCAGGTGTCAGATCCCTGCTGACTCTGGGCTGAGGATATCAGTTCCTCATCAAGCTGGCCTTTCCAATTCAGCACATGGCAGATGACCTCCTTCAGAGGGAAGAGAATTATTATTATGCCTCATAATAATTCTGAATTATTACTCAGAATTATTATGCCTAGTTACATGGATTTTGTGTGTCTGTGCTTCTCCAATGTAATTTGACAATATTCAAGGATAGAGTTATTTTGTAGTTCTCAGTAGGAAATTCTAATGAATTCTAAGCTAAAGTAGAACTCAATAAATGGTACATGCGTAAATATTAAATTAATTTATTACCATAACATAGCAAAATAAAAATACATCCAAAGTAGCTGGCTATTTAAAAGTCATGTTTGCAAATCAGTCTGTAATTTAACTGTAAACTACTTGTTAGCTTGGCATAGCAAAATAAGATAGTTTTATACTGAATTGTTTTTATAAAATAATTCTACCAAAAATAAAAACTTTCCCTGAAATTATTTATAGGCGACTTTTACTAAAAACCACACCACAAATAAGACCACTAAATTCATATTTCAAAATTAATGCTTTATCGTGATAAACTAAATAATGTCCTTTCCCCAAAGATGTCACAGCCTAATTCTGGGAATACGTGAATATTCTGTTACAAGGCAAGTGGGGCTTTACTAAGATCAAAATAAGGATCTTGAGACGGGCAGATTACAGGAGGACATAGAAGTAGTCAGAATAAACAAATGGTGTGATGACATGAGCAGGAAGCAGAAAGAAAAGGATTTGAAGATGTTATATTGCTGAATTTGAAGACAGAGGGAAGTATCCACAAACCAAGGAAAACAGGAGTTTCTAGAAGTTGGAAAGTCAAATAAAGAGATTCTTTCATAGAACCCCAAGAAGGAAACAGTCTTGCTGACACCTTGACTTTAGTCCAGTAAAACTGATTTTGAATTTCTTCTTCAAAACTGCAAGACAATGAATTTGTGATGTTTTAAGACCCCAGGTAATTTATGGTAATTAATTATAGCTGTGGTAGGCAATAAATACAATGAGAAATAGTGATGACTCTCTTAGTGTTTTTGCAATTATTTCATGGTGGGTTGTACATCTTGGCAGTGTTTCAATAAACACATATTCCAGGTTTCCAATTCCAGAGAGACACCACTTCTTCAGGATAAAATGTCTGGACCAGGAGGAGATTCCTCTTCAAGGTGACCTGTCCATCTTCAGGGTAGAAGTGGGGCTGGAATGAAAGTCTGAGCATCAGCTGAAGCAGTCCTCCATTCAGAGATAAAGTGGAAGAAACCCCTACAGTAACCTGGGATTATAGTGGGCACACCAGGAAAGCAGTCACCACTGTATCACCACAGGATTTGGGATATTTTTACAGTGGCTCTCTGCTGGAAGAGATTTATACTTACCCATCTCAATAAATAGGTACAAATGAAGAAGTACAAATTGTATTCATGTCTCTCATGGCCCAGGTTACACACTCCAGTCCTTTTTTAAGCTTTTCACTGTGTGCTGAATGTAATGAAATGAAATTTCAAATAAGATTCTTGGAACTCATGTTAGAGAGACTCCCTTATAATGCTGTAATGTGAAAGTAACTATTCCTCTCTCTCTCTCTCTCTCTCTCTCTCTCTCTCTCTCTCTCTCTCTGTCTCTCTCTCCTAAAGCACTCCATATAGTATCAAAGAATCTGAACTTATTTATGAGACAAAGCTTAAGCATTCTCCTAGCTACTGTGGCCAAAATTTTTTTATTTCCAGGTAAAGACATTTTAAAGATCCACTTGTGCATGGAAAGCGAATGGTGGACAAATCCCCCTACCAACAAAAATGGAGAGACCTCTTATGGAGCTGAAATTGTGTGATATCCTTGGGAGAACACTGCTATTAGGGAGTGAATTTGGTGTGTAGAGGACATTTTTAGTTCATAAGTAGATTTTAATGGTTTGGCTCTGATAATCCCAACTTAGAAAAGGACTCTGGGCTCATTCAGTGAAAAATGTCAAAAAGCTCATCATGGATATGTGTTTATTGCCTCTGTCTCCCACACCATTTTTTTAAATCTAAGACCACAGAAAGGTTCACTGGCCAATAGGGCTGTTGAGCCCTTTGCATGGAAGGACAAGCACTTCAAGTGCAGGTGTCCAGCATGAACACTACCGTGTAAGCTAAAGAAGATCCCTGTGAGGCATATGAAAAAATGTTCAACATCACTTGCAAATTAAATGCAAATTAAAACTACAATGAGATACCATCTTACACCAGTGAGATTGGCACATATTAAAAAAACTAGCAACAACAAATGTTGGCGAGGTTGTGGAGAAAAAGGAACTCTCCTGTACTGCTGTTGGGAGTGCAAACTGGTCCAACCACTATGGAGAGCTGTGTGGAGATTTCTGTACCTACTAAACATAGAGCTTCCATATGATCCAGCAATTCCACTCCTAGGTATTTACCCAAAGGACACAGAAACATCAATTCCAAAGAGCACTTGCACCCCTATGTTTATAGCAGCACTGCTTACAATAGCTAAGCTTTGGAAACAACCCAAATGCCCAAAAATAGATGACTGGATCAAGAAGATGTGGTACATTTACACCATGGAATATTACTCAGCATTCAAAAAAGATAAACACATGCAATTTGCAGCAACATGGATGGAGCTGGAAGGGATCATGCTCAGCAAAATAAGCCAGAAAGAAAAAGAAAAATACCGGATGGTCTCACTCATAGCAGGAATCTAGAAAACTTAAATAAGGGACCAGGAAAAAGAATAACTATAAGAAAGTAAAAATCAAAATCAACAAACAACTATGAACCAGAGACACTCTATGGGAGGCGGGGAAAGGAGGGCTTGGGGTCAAAATAAGGGGGTTGCAATTGTATGGGGAATTCAAAAATAAAAAAAAATAAAATAAAAAAATGCATTTCAAAATTCAAAATTAAAAAAAAAAAGAAGAAGTTCCCTGTGATATAAAGCTCAATGTAATCTGAAAGGCCCTTGTCCTGAATCTTAGACTTTAAGGTTTAAAGACCCCCAGTGAATTCTCAAAATGTCTCCCATGATAAACTCAGGCCTCTTCTGAAGAAACTACCATCAGAAGGACCTGTTCCCCATATGACTGTCCTCATGAAGCTAGACTCAGTGGCCATGACTTCTGTGCATAAGTGGTTTTCTTCGTTTTCCTTCATCCATAGTGTTTTCTTATTAGGGACATCATCACCTGAAGGACCCACCAACTACACTTTTCCCCTGAGCATTTTCGTCAGCACTGTGGGCAGCCCCTGAGATGCCATCCCCAGTCTCCTCTTCTTTGACCAGTGCCCCCACCATAGATGTGCTGCCAACCAGAAGGTGTATTAGAAATTTCCCCTACTTTGCGGAGTAACTACTGGACCAATCTAATGGTGACATAAGCTTTTTGTAATCTGATCCAAGATCCTCTGTAGACACAAATCTCAGAATGTGTAGACATAACTGGAAAGGGGTCTCCAGGTCCTCTATTCCTGTAGTGTTTTTTCAAACCCACATTGCTACTTCTGCATAAGAAATCACAGCTCAATGAGACAACTGTGAGAAGATTATAAGGTCCAAGTCCTCCCCACCACCTGAGCCTTCTCCCTAAGAAGCCCAGGGCTACATGAAGCAACAATATTGATTAGGACAGTTCAGACTCGTAAAACCACCAGAACAAGAAGACATCCATACCCATGGATGCTTCTTTTGTAGTTTGAATAGATTTTCATATTATATCACACAATTTCCACATAGAGAAATGGGATCCAATGTGGTCCCTGATCACATTTAATACTTAAATAATATATATTTTTTGATGATGACTTGATTTTGTCTCCCACAAATCCTTGGGTGAGTGTGCTCACTGCTCAGGTCAGGCACTGGGACTTGTATGTTGAGGACCTTAGAAATGAAATTCTTTTCCAGTGAGATTAAGTTGAATGTTCACATGCTTGTATACAAAAAACTAGTATTTCTGAATATAAAAGTTCTAAACATTCAGAATATTCAGTGGCTCCTGAATGAGCACCACTAAATGCCTCAGTAAGCAACTTAGGTGTTCATTTTCCCATATCATTCACAGAATACTCAGCAAGAAAAGAGATTTAGTGGATATTTACTGCCAAATGAAGCATCCCAACCCTTGGCGTTTCTGTCTGCTTCACCATGATTTACTCTATTTTGCTCTAAGACAGTAGATGAAACTACTTATCCCACCATAAGAATAGATGTTGTCCTCCCGCTACACTGGGGGAATTACACCCTGGGTCTAAATCTTCAGGATCTTTGTATCAGTCACAGATACTTGCCTCCTGGTGAAGCAGGAGTTTCTTGTCATTATAGACATGAAGGTAAAGGTACTATTATATGATACACAATCTTATCATTGCAGCCTCGACAACTTGGTCAAAGGCAGACACTGAGTCCTTGTTCAAAAAATGAGAATACTATTTAAAAATGTTTCAACTTTCAAATCATTTCTAGGTCAGTCTGCATAAATCCTCTAATAAAAGCTTTGCAAGAGGCAAAACAAAGAACAGAAGAGGTTGTCATGCATTTCCCATCTACCCAACGGGATGCCCATATAACCATTGAAATACCTGGCCAAGGACTAGCATAAGAGCAAAAGGACTAAAATAAAATGTTTTGCCGTCAATATTTGCTTCCAGAATATCATTAGTCAATTTCAGCAAGAACTCGCCTCTCCTTCATGACTGGCTGTCATTGGTGCTAGAACACACCAGTGTGTCCCTTTATCCCTCCCCCCTCCTATGTGTCCTAGTCTCCTCCACATTGTTCAGCAATGAATTTCCTTCCCTTTGCCATCCACACAGCTGAGTATGAATCTGACTCCCAGTTTAAGACCTATTCTGAAAGGCATTGTTTGGATTCTTTGGTTTTTCTATCTCCTATCTGTTAATTTTTAGATATAAACTAGTGGTCAGATTGTATATATTAATCCAACCAAGTGGTGGGTTAATTCACAGTGATCCCACAGTCAGAAAATAATTCAAAATATGTAATCTGTAAAGCAATTATAGGAAGAAATGGCTACCTCATCTGCAAAGCCCATTGCAAATTAAAAACATGGGGCCACTGTTGAAAAAAACTATTAAGAATTTAAAGAGGGTAACAGCAGAATGTTAAACCAAGCATGGGAGCCTCCCTGGTGGAGAAGGGGTTAAGTCTCAGCACTATCACGCTATCACCCCTATGGCCTGAATGTGACCCCTGCCAGGGAGCTAGCCCACCTGTAGGACAACCTCTCCTGTCTTGACTGCTGCTTCCCTTAGCAGTGATAAATCCGCCTGTTCTACTCCCCACACTGTCTCTGGTGAATCCTTTCACCTCTTCCCTCTCCCTCTACACCCCAGTTCTTCGACCAAAAAAAAAAAAAAAAGCATGGGTCTCTTCTAAGCACTGTGTTCTGAAGCTAATCCTGATTATGGGAGATTATTTTCTATTTCCCAAATTGCTACTTTTCACCAAGAACTTAGTAGAACATTTAAGGATTTTTTTATTCAACAATTCACGAGAAGACTTAGTTCATTGCAAATGGAGAAAAGAGAGTTTAGACTAAGGAACTGGAATCTGTTACTTCTCTGAGCCTGACGAGCTGACGAGCACTACTATACCAGGGGTGGTGTATTTAAAAAAAAAAAAAAAAGAAAAGATCCTGATCTGCAAAGAAGTTCCAGACAACTCCCATCTATTCTCAACTTGCTTGTGCTTGTTCTAGTCTTTGTAGTTTCTGCCTTTCTGGCTTCATAACCCAACTTTGATATCTGATTCTGGCATCTTCTCTTTGGTAACCACCCAGATGCCCCCTTCTGACTTCTCAGAATCCAGTTTCTGGCACGGGTTTCAGCTCTGCTGGCTCCTCAGGTTTTAATATCCCACATTTCACGTGAGAAACTTTCTGTTCCCTCCCCTAGCTGCATGCAGTCTCACTGGCTAGACAAGCCCCTTTTCTTCTGCTAGCTGGGAAAAAAATATATCATCAGAAGGTAGCATATATAGCTATGACTTACTAGGTAATTTCATTCAAAAGAGCCGATAAGAAGCCATGTTCTTCCTTCACTTGTTTACTCCTTGAAATTTTCTTTTCTTCCTCTACGCACTACACTTACTTTTCCATGCATGTTGGGAATGACCGGTGTTCACTCTGGAGCTTTCTTCTCTTTTCTATAAGCTTTTGTCCCATGTGCCACACAACTTTTATCAATTAATTACCTCAAAATATTCCATTACTTCATGTGAAATTTCCAATGTGTAGATGCCTCTGCTTTTGTTAACTATTCATATTTTTTGTCTCCCAAATTAGGACAAACTTCCTGACTTCCAAATTAGGCATGCTTCCTGACTCTGAAAAAGACTGTTTCCCCGAGTCTTTCTTTTCTTAATAAGAAGTATCATCAAATATTTGCAAAAACTTTCTCCAATAAATGTCTTCTCACAGTTTTAGAAATTAAAAAAATGAAGTATCATCAAATTTCTCCATTCAAACCAAGCAGTCATGATTTATTCTGTTCTTTCCTTTTTCCATTTATTGCAGCCTATCAGTAAGGTTACTGGCTCTATCTTCCAATATGCCTTTTATCAAACAGCTCCACCAACTCCCTTATCTGAGTTCCATCAAATTTTTTTCTGATTTACTGCAATAGCCTTTTAAATTGTGTCCTTATACTCACTCCTCCCAGACCTCATAATCTCTCTAAAAAGGACCACAGTGATATTTTCAAAAGAAATGATCATATAATTGCCCTACTTAAAAATTTCCAGTAGCCTACCATTGCATTTAGAATGAAATCCTAGTGCTTTATAATTTCCACCCTTGCTTCTCATACTTCAAATCTTAATACGTCTCCCCACCCCAATAAATTTGTTCAGATGCTGCACGCCTCTCTTTTCTCAATCATACCACAAAAAAAATTGAACTTAGCCTCACTACTAGAATATTTTCCCCAGATCTTTGTATAATTGAATACATCTCATTACTACCTCTACAAAGTACTTGCTAATCACTCTGTCAAATGTTAACGGTCTTACATCTGATTTTTTTATCTTATTTACTCCACCTTTTTTTCTACCTTCTTTCTTTCATTATTTTTCTGTGTTTCTCTCTCTCTCTCTCATTTTGGAGGGGTATGTATGTTTTGTTTATTTGTTCATTAGGGAAAAGGCTTTTTCCCCCTTGTCCAGCAATGTGTTCTGAGCACGAAGAAAACTTAGCACATAGTATATACTTAATAAGCGTTTGTTGAACAAACAAGTCCTCAATGTTATGAGGGAAGTGTGATGCAGTAAAATATGTGGTCAATTAACCACAAATCATAGAACAAATCTGGCCACCACCTGTTCAATAGATAAAATTTTACTGGAAAACAACAATATCCACTTGTTAACAGATTGTCTATGGTGACTTCTGCACTACAACTGAGCCTATAAAGTTTGCAAATCTGAAAATGTCTGCTATCTGTCTCTTTACAGAAACAGGCTGCTGACTTCTGTGATAATATATGTCTGGTCAAATTGACATTCAATTTGAAAAGAACATATATGTATCTCATCTAAATATTTTGAGGTAATTAAAGCCATGTCGTCTTCCTGCAGATGGAAAGGATAATATGTGCAGAAGATCCTAAAGATGGGGCCCTAATCCAACAGGACATGTCCTTACAGGAATAGGGAACCCACCAGGGCTGTCTCTCACTTGTACCAAGTAAAGAAAACAGCAAGAAGGCTGAAAGCCAGGAAGAGAATTCTAACCATCTGCAAGCCAGGAAGAGAATTCTTACCAGACACTAACTTTGCTGGCAACTTGATTTTGTACTTGTAGTCTTCAAAATTATGAGAAATACATTTCTATTGTTGACCTCTTAGTCTTGGTATTTTACTAAAGCAGCATAAGCTGATTTTGCATAACCCCTGTCTGCTCTTCATGTGAGTGAAAAAGGGGCCTTTTGGTAAGCACCAAAGCATTAAACTTTCAGTTAGTTAATCACCCTCACTTCCTAAGTTTCTCTTTGTAAAATATTAATACAACTTAGTAATAATCAAGCAAATCCAATATCCCTGAAGGAGTTAACCTCTACCTATCTTTCCAAGACCAGAGTCATTGCACCAGCAATGTCCTTCATTCTTGTCTACCAGGACGTTGTCACAGGATATCACTGCTGAAATCTCCAACAATTAGGCTGCCATTTTGTGCCAGGGATTATCCATGCTAAATTATACTTAGGACAAGATTCTTTTCACAAATCAGTTAAAGAGTGAGCCAATATCAAAAAATTATTTTGCTGCCTAATTTTCCAAATCAAATTTAGAACTATTTATGACAATTCAGAACCTCCAATAAATAAGCATCAAGAATAGATTAGACATTCAAGAGACTTAGTTTCTTATATTTGATTAGTTATATCAAATAGTTATAACTTAGTTTCTTATATATGATTCTTATATCCCCACCAAGCTCAGGCATTGATTCACAGCAATATGAGCAAATCACTGCCTATGATAGTTGATTTAACCATGTAACAGCTGGAATTATTAATCAACCCTTCTCCCTACATTAGGTCCTTTTGGAGATCTGCATAGCTTACTTCTATAGTGTTAACTATTATTAGAGTGATGTCATGATTCTGCTATTTTCTTACCAAACCCATTTCCTTTGCCTACTTCTTTTGAGCACTACATTTCCCTGCCCCTGGTGTTAGGGGAAAAGGATGTCCTGAGCTAATCCCATACAGGCTTTGTGGACTCCACCCCCACTCCAGACTAAAGCCATCAGGACATTGGGAAAGACAAATCCCATCACCACCAAAGAGAGGGTGGCTGGGACCTGAGGGTGGAGTTGGGCAGCCAGGTTGGATATAAAAACCAAACACGTGGGCCTTGAGGGGCTCGCTATCGCTCGCCTCCTGGCTACACAGCTCCTGGCTTGCGGCCAGCTCTCAGAGCGCCATTTTGGGATTCCTGATCAGTGGATCAGGTAGGACGCATTTAAAACTTTGTTTCCCACTTTTCTCCCTGAGCTGTACATTTCCTCATTTCCCCTTCCCTTGTAAATAAACCTTTATTAACCTTTCGCGCGTGCCTGCAGTAGAGCATTGATAAGTGCTTTTAAGCGCACGGGTGAGGACCCACAGTCAGGCACCCTGTTTTGTATCGGGGTTGCTCTACAACACTGGGAAGTTAGTGAGGACATGTGACTCTGCTCTGGTCCATAGAATGTGCATCTTTCTATGTCTGGACGCTTATATTTCCCACATACTGTATTCTACTCTCTGTCTATTTCTAAGACAAAGTCATGGATTCAAGAAGCACCACAAGATGGAGGAATAGTCTGAGCCTCTGTATTACCACTTTGAGTAGAAATGCCAGATTCAAAAGACTATGTCTCATGGGCAAGCAATAAATCCAAACTGAGTTAAAACTCTGACATTTGGGAGCTGCTTATTTCAATAATAAATTTATTCTCTTTGTTCTAACAGCTTACCTTCTTCATAGAAGCAATTTTCAAATGTCTTACTTCGATTTTTTTTAGCTAGAATCTTCATATGGGAATGTGTGTTGGAGAGACTAGAATAAAGAAGAGATGAAGCACGTAATGAAATGATTCATTAATCTTAGCCATTCTATCTTTTAAACAGTGACATTCTATAAAACACAGACAGACATTACTAAGTAGATGAGTACAGTCCTAATAACTAAATAACACATTTTAATATTTCTGATATAAATTATTTATCTTGCAAAAATTTTACCCATCAGTAGTCTCTAGAAATGTTTTCCCAAATGATAAATTACAATTTCTAAGTAAAACCAACACCTTTGTCCAAATCACCTCTGAAGCCTAAGTAGCATTTATTCCAAAATAGCTTTTCTTGTTTTTTTCAATAATACCTTAGTGAAATAAGCTTTTACCTCATCTTTCCACAATGACTAGTGAAGATTGTGTGTAATTTTGCAGGACGTGAATAGTTCTAGGAAATCTTTCTAAACTTAATGAAACAGATACGACCAACTTTATCTCCAATCTGTCCTAGTTTTTAACATGTAATACTTGAATTATTTTTATATGATTGAATCTATGAAGCAAGTGCCAAATCACATGTGAAGACATGAAATTATCTACAATCATTCAAAATCCATTGGGCTTCACCTGCCCATGAAAATAAGATGTTAACACTTTGAAAATTGTCAAAATGGTATGTGTTCAACCTCTTGTAAAAAGCATACTGACTGTTATTTCATCCTGTATTTTCAAATTCTTAGGCCCCCTCACTCATAATCTTAAAGATACAAATGTTGGGCCTCCCCGGTAGTGCAACAGTTGAGCGCTGGGTTGCCAAGCTGCCCACAGGCTCTGCAGCACGGGTTCCATCCCCGGCCACCCGCGAGGGTCCCACATGGCGTGCAGACCTCTCCTGCTGCCCGCTGCTCCCCTCAGCAGTGCACTTCGGTCCTTCTGCCCGTTCTGTTCCCCGCTCTGGCTCTGGTGAATTCTCTCACCCTCCCGCGCTTCTAACTGTACCCAGTGCTTATATAAATAAATAAATAAATCTTAAAAAAAAAATACAAATGTTATAATTCTAGTAATGTTTTAGTGATTCCACTATTAGCAAATTCCTCCAGTAATTGGCTGACCAACTACCCTATTTTAAATTTACATTATTTCTTTAATTTATGGTTTATATTTATTGGGTGCCTAAAAAAAGCAGGCATTTTGCAAACAGTGGCAGATCCTCAGTAAATTAGATAGTCAAAAACCTTGCCTTTTAATGACTGCACAAACCAACTACAAAAATATGGGGTGGGGGGAGAACAAATACATAAAAATAGTAACTACTTTGCAAAGAATTAAAATTGGGTTGTAAAATGGAAAGTGATGATAGACAGTGGGTTTATATTAAATACATGGTCAAGTATAGACTTTCTGAAGGAGACATTTTTAGTTATAATACAAATGACTAGACAGGTGCAAACACAGGAAATCAAAAGAGGGGCAAGCAGCAGGTCCATGAACTCTAGAGTAGAAACAAACCTGGAAAATTTGAAAAAGAAAGGGAAATCCAGCATGGCTTTCACATAGATGCAAAAGAAATAGAGGCAGATGTGGTCAAAGTAGGATTTTTATATAGAGTTTGTATTTTAGATAGATTTGGGACCATGAATTTTATTCCAGATAACCTAAAAAGTCATTGGAAAGTTTTAGCCGGAGACTGGTATAAAACAATTTTATATTTCTTTTTTAAAAAGATTTTTATTTATTCATGCATACAAGAACTGGGGAACAGGATAGATGTGTGGGAGGTGAGAGGATTCACCAGAGACAGAGCAGGGAGCTGAACAGGCAGACTGACTGAAATATACTGCTAAGGGGAGCAGTGGGTGAGACAGGAGAGGTCTGCTGCACCATGTGAGTATCTCGCTGTCTGGCCAGGATTGAACCCGTGCTGCAGAGGCTGCAGACAGCTTCACAGCACTGCGCTCAACCACCTGTGCCACCAGGGAAGGCCCTATATTTCTTTTTTGAAGGGATTTGAATTAGGGAGGAGATCTTATATATAAGCTTAATTTCAGATATGCACTGGTATTCTAAAACACACTATAATAACAAAATCTTTAGAAGGAAAAACTTTTGACCATGCACAGTACTTATTCATCAGATGTATGACTAGAATAAATAATAGTAGCTAATGAATGTTTAAATTTTCACTAAAGTATAATTAACTATCATTTTCCATATAAATGAATTAGATTACTTTGGATAAATGAATTTCTTTATGATCACAAAGTATAGAGAAGTAAAACCCATGTGTATTGTACCTCTTTTCTCAATTCTAATCACAACAGTAAACCCACTGACTTCATAAGAATTATGAATGGAAGTTGTTAAAAAGAGGAAAAGAAGAAGAAAACCTTTCATTAACTGACACAAGATGGAAGGTAAGAATACATTAGTTTCTGTGTTAATTCAACACTTTCAACCAGTACCAACAATTTATCTAGCTGCCTTCATTTAGTTATTTTCCACTGTTTACCCATTTATCTTTTTCCAATTTGGTATGAGATATTTTCTAACAGAAACATGTAATATTGCAGAAGAAAATAAATGAAAAGTGAAAAAGGGAGAAGCACATATAGTATAGGAATATGGACATAAAACAGGAAAGACAGCAAACTGTAAAAAATTAGGAGCCTGGCTTTATCTTACTTGCTGGCTTATTGTTTTGAGGACACATGGGGTTATGCAAACAAAACATTTTGAGATGGATGGAAAATGATCTTCTAGTCTTCCTGGAAACAGATCCAAGAGGTAAGTATAATTATATAGCTTGAAGCATCAATGAAATAGCTATATATCATATTTAACATGGCAAATTGATTACAGGTATTAGTTTTGTTTCACCACCACCCCCCATATTAAAATAACAGAAAATAAATTTTAAAAAAGATAGTGGACAAAAAAATGGAAAACATACTGGACAAGAGATTTTTGGAAGACAGAGGATGATCAGAAAATTGACAGCAAACAAAAGAAGCTTCACAAATACCACTGAGTATAAGCTGTTTAAAACCATAGAAGGTGCAAAACCCAGAGGCATAATAAACTGAAACTAGGTAAGAGTCAAGGCTAAAAACAGGCATTAAAAACTGTAAAAAAAAATATTGAATATCTGCTTTTTTATTCTGTCTCCAATGGACTCACCACCATCATCCATCTCCCCAAAGTCCCTCAAAAGGTGGGGGGAGGGAGGAAGGTGTGCTTGAGATATAATGGAACAAAAAACCTCTTGCTTTGTTTCTGTCTTTGCCACCAGAACTAAAATTAAAGTCAGACACTATGCTAATGCAAGAGACTACTGGTGTTACTCAGTGGAAAAATGAACAGATTAAAAACAACAAAAACATAAATAAAGGAATTTCAGGAAAGCTCAGTGAAGAAAAGCTGATTTTCACTATAGAGATATACACTTTTGATTAGCACCATCCACATTTTCAAGGCTTGCTATTAGTTTCCTCACACTTAAATACGAACAAGAAGATTTGATTGTCAGAGATGTACCCAAGACACATATAGAAGACAGAATAAGAAAAACACAAAACTAAGAAAATAATCAAAGATACCAAAACATTGTAGGAAATAAAAAAAATTTCAGAACCATATAATTAATAACCTGAGATAAGACAAAATATTATATCCATTAAAAAAGTCAAATGTGAAATATAACTAAAATTTTTATGGAATCTCAAAAGTCACAAATAGCCAAAACAATCCTGACAAAAAAGAAGACTGGAGCTATTACTCACCCTGACTTTAAACTATACTATAAAACTATAATAATCAAAATAGTGTGGTATTAGACTGAATATAGACACACAGACTAATGGAATAGAATTAAAAATCCAGAAATAAACCCACACTTATATGGACAGTTCATCTACACCAAAGGGGCCAAGAATATACAATGAAAAGGGGAGTCTTCAGCAAATGGTGTTGCAAAAACTGGACAGCCACATGCAAAAGAATGAAACTACACCACTATCTCACAAAATGCACAGAACTAATTTAAAATGGATTAAAGAATTAGATGTAAGGCATGAAACTATAAAATATGTAGAAGAAAACAGGCAAAATACCTTGTGACTTTGGTCTCAGTGACTGACTTCAATAGGAGGGGAAATAATAGCAAAAATAATCAAATAGGACTACATCAAACTACAATATTTCTGTAGAGGAAAATAATTATCATTTAAAAAAAGACACTCTACCAAATGGGGAAAAACATTTGCACATCATACAAATAACAAAGGACTAATATCCAAGATCTACAAAGTTCTCATACAACTTGACAGAAAAGCAATCCAATGGAAAAATGGGGTTGAAGAGATAAAGAGGCATTTCTTCAAAGACATTTACATGTTTAACAGACACATGAAAAATACTAATCACCACTTATTATCAAAGGAAAATGCAAATCAAAATCCAATGAAATACCACCTCACATTGAATGTGTTGACAAGACTGTGCAGCAAAAGCAACCCTGTTGGTCAAAAAGTAGAAATGGTCCAATCCCTATCAGAAACAGTGTGGAATACATTTTAAAACAAACACTAGAAATGTGAATACAGATCTGCGGCTACCAGGAAAGGAAGAGAGAGTATGGGGAAGAAAAGGGGAAGGGACCTAGTGATTGTGGTAGAGGATGATTGGTGCTCAGTGGTGAATGTGGGGTAATAACAGGGATCTAAGGATTTGGGAACCCATGCGTCTGAATCATATACAGTGTTGCAAGTCAATGTTATTTTAATGAAAATCACACAATTGAAAAAAATTTAAAATGATACTATTAAAAAATTAAAAGTCAGAGACATGACCATGTTTTGTACAGCCTATCTAAAATTAAAAGACAAATGTCTAACAAGGCAGGAAACTTTCAAGGAAGTCAAGTAAGAACTCAGAAGAGGAAAATAAGGGAAGAAAGGTTAAGCAAATAAGAGGAACACTTTAGGAAGTTCATGATACAACCTATGATACTTACTGAAAGAGAAAACAAACCAAATGAAAGGAAAGA